CAAAACGCTCGCTGAAGGTGAGCTGGGAAGGCCAAGAAATGGAAGTACACACGGACAACTGCAGCTAAGCCGACGATCACGGTCCGTGGCTGAGGCTGCGACAGCCTCGCTGGGGGAAGCACCCCTCGTAACCCCTGTAGGAACTCCAGGCCAGCACTCCCGCGGGCCTGCTTTGCTTCTCCCTCACAGTCACCCGCTATTCCACCAGAGCCTACAGCACAAGTGTTTCCGGCGAGTCTATAGGTCACTTACCATGGTGGGCTGACTCATGAAGTATTGCTGCTTGGCTCAAAGCAGACGTGACCTTCATAATGAAGTCATCTCTGGTTTCTTAGCGAGCCAGCAGTCGTCAAGCTTCTCCGAAGCCCGAGACTTTGGGGAGGACAAACCACGGTGCTCAGCGCGCCTGTTTCACCCGCTCCACCTGTGCAGGCTTTTGCCTTGCCTGCGCAGTAAAACCGTGCGCTGTGGATGCTGTTGGTTCAAAGCGGGCAGTTAAAAACGAGAGATTGCAACTCGCCATGGTAACTTGTTAAGAGAAGCATCAAGATCTTTTATTATTAAAGGAGGGAGGGCATTTTTAAGCAGTTGGTGAAGCTGAAAAAAACCCTCTCGTTTTCAGATTTTTTTTTTGCAGAACAGACGTATTAAAAAAGTTCAGAGGTGCTTTTTTTTTCCCATAGGAAAATCAATTGGCTTGTTCTCAGCTTCTTGGAAATGGAATTCAGCCATTTTCTTACTTGTAATGCCTACCTGTTTCGCTGCCAGGTTCCGAACACAAGACATCCTGTAAGAGAGGACGCTGCCTTTGTCTGAGCAGCTGCCATCCTCCCCTGCTCCCGCGGTTGTCAGACACTTCAGAAAAAAAAATAAATCCCCAAAACCTTCAAAGGCCAAACCAATAAAACCCAGTGCTAAGAAGCCTCTTAGGCGAGTGTCGGTTTAACGTGGCAGCGGGCTGGTGAATAATGCTGAACCAAGAGAGTTGTTTCCCTATGAGATGACACAGAGCCTTACCCTCTTCATCCTCCTCTTAAAAAAAATACAGTGAATATTTATGGGCACGTTTCAGTATAAAACCTTAGGAGCAGTAAAAAAGAAAGAGTACGTTATATGACCATCTCCAACATTTTCTGCAAAGATAATTAACAGCTCTAGGACAGCTAATTTACATGTTAATGAAAGTGTTAGCAGGAAAGCCAATTAAACTGGATTTATACAAGTCAAATAAAATCTGCTTTATTACTCTCCTTGAATAAGGGAAGTATCTGGCCTTTAGCATTATATCTTATGTCCATGTATGTGGCAAGCTGCCCGCTGAAGGATGAATCCCGGCAGCTAGCTGGTTTTTGCTATCAGTGACAGCAGATACTGTTCAACCGCAGCAAATCAAGGGAAAGGAACAGCCAGTCCAGCTGAAAAGGTTACGGCAAAGAATGAGGCATCTCCTGTCTCAATACATCATCTTCCACGCCGGTCCCCAACACCCCAGCCAAGTGGTGTTTTTTTTTTTTTCCAGAGGCAGGCGCTTACATCCTGGGTTCTGGTTTTAATGGTCAGGAGAAGCAAAGCAAGGCCAGACTTGCTCTGCGTTTGGGAAACCACCACGGAACACTGACGATGCTTTCCTTCTCCTTCAGGATTAAGCCAGGCCCCACCACAATGTGACAAGAAGCCAAGTAACCCGAACCATCATGAGCCGACATCCTCAGCTAGGGAACCCAGAGCACGGCTCTGTCCTCAGCTCTGCTGCCCCTTCTCACTGGGACATTATCACTGGAAACCAGTGTTCCCAGTGACAGCTGTCAGGCTTGAGGGCCACAGAACGGGTGGCAGCCCATCACATTTTTCATGCTCTGAACCCAGCGCTTGGATATCTTAAAACGGTTGATGCTGGCTGCGAGGCGAGGTATGTCGATTTACCAGAAGCAGGTGTAAGTGTCTGTGTGCTGCTTTCGTGTGAGCGACTTTGGGACGAGACTGACACCACGGGAGCGTGCCCGGGAGCCTGCAGTGCAGCAACTCCAGGCATCCCGGTTGTTCAGCTGCATTCGTGTTTGGGGTGGGTACGTGGTTCTCCTCGGTACAGCAACAGCCCAATTTAGCTTTCTTAGGTGAGTGACCGCGGAAACAAACAAAAAGAGAACCAAAACCAAAGTATTGTTTAGCATTTCCACTCTGACAAAACAACATTTTTGCTTTTTCCTTTTTGTCCAGAATTGCCATTTTCACCAGGTGGAAAATTTCTCCTTTGAAGCTAGCTGCTCTGCCTGGCACCAGTGAAAGCCAGTTTGCGCTACTGTAATCACAGCAATTAAAAACTCGATGGCTGTTGCTACTAGAAATACCAACACAGTTCTACAAGAGTGCTGGACAAGTGCAAGAGGACTGACAAACTCCTGTTAGCCCTCCCCTCCTGTCTTACCAGCGTAGTCTTGGATGCCACAATGCCGACAAAACGCCATCTTCGCAGACGATTCACGTGGGCCCCCAGCTAGGTGGGACGAAGGGCATGGTTTGAGACGTAAGAATTTACATAAAAGCACTTATTCTGAATTAATGTGATACCAGGGAAGCAGGAAAGCCTAAGTTTCTAACGGGAAGCAGACATGAACACTACGCAACGGCCCTTCTGGCCCTCCAGCCGAGGTCTGTACATGGTTTAGGAGGCACTGGTGCAAAATCCAAAAGCACAACTGAAAAACTGTTCAGTTTGGCAAAACATCGATGACCGGCTGTGCCCGCCCCAGTACTATATCTCTTACAGAAGACGAAGGGTAAATACTACATTCTTCCAGAATGAGACAATAACGAAAAAATAATGCAGGTCTTTAAGAAAAGTGAACATGATCCAGAGCATTCATTTGGCAGATCATTCACCTTTAATACATTTTGTGGCACATCTAGTACATTTTTAAAAACACATTTCATTACTATATTCCAAAAAAAACCCAAACAAACAAACCCAACAACCCCCCCTGAAAATATTAGTTTTAAAAGTTACAGATATATACATCCAGTTACAAAAAAGGAGAAAGTTGCCTCACGAGTTCCAGTTACAGTAACAAACCAGATGCATTTACTGAGATTAATGTGTAATGTCAGTGATCCAATCCCTGTAAGCCAGAGAAGTCTATTAAAATCAACACAAGATTTGTCACAAGAAACATGCATTCAGTTCTTGGAAGTCTTGTCTCTTTGCAATGAATTCCACATACCCTCTACTTTGTGAACACAAAGTGTTCTAATATATTTACACTCTGAAGTTTAAACCATGGTGTAAAAAGGATAAACCTCTTTAGGACAGCTGTTACACTCTCTACCTGAAATACCGCCATGCAGTGGTCTTAGCTACATCTTGGTTACGGGGGAAAAATGCTCGTTTTGCTCGTGTAGTGCTGTACGTTCTCTATACCACTCTTGGGGAATTTTACTACACAGCTCCCGCAGGTCAAGGCTTAACTTGCAGAAGCGTCTTTTCAGCTGTAGTGTCCTCCTGGGCTGGGGGGCTCTGGAGTGGGAACAGTGGAGGTGGCCTCAGCACCTGGCAGGATTGCAATGGCCACGGGTGCCTGCACCCGCCCTGGGCAGAACTGCAAGGCGCATCCCACCTCTCTGGTAGCTTTCGCAGCCGTCATTTTAAGGCCAGTAATACTGGCTCCATCCCACATAAGTGATGCTAAGAGACACCTTAAGCCTGTCATCAGCACAGACCCCATTTAATAAATGGTCAGCTAGGGCAGTACAGCCTAATCATAGCCTATGTTTGTTCTCAGAGAGGGTCAGGGTGTAAAGAAAGGAAGGAAAGAGACCGCAGGTAGACTAGCCTAGGCTGCTTTTAACTACATTGCGAACTATCAAAGACTTTAAAAAAAGTGACTGAGGGCTGCCTTTTTTTTTTCTCCTAAAAATACTTACTTCTCATCGGTACTGTTAAGGTACCTTAACATGAACTCAAGTAAGACAACACTGCTGTTTTTCTCTGTATCTACACCAATAAATACATTTGGGTCCTAAGAAACCAAACCATCTGGGATCTTCTGCATTTCCAGGGGGATCTCTCGATCACCTGAATTTCTTCCTGCTTTACTTTTCTCTACCTGAGCTCCAAACTCTAAGCATTAACTTTCTTGTCAGGGCCTACATTTGTCTTACACCACTTGGGCATCTTCAGTGCTCTTCCTCAACTCAGCTAAAGAAAAAGTGTCTAAATGAGTAACGTGAGCCAGGGATTTGAATGTACCATCTTCACAGAACTGCCCTGAGTCTGACCAAATACACACTCTCCTAAAGAAAGCAAATCTCACAGGTTGCCAAGATCAAGACAGAAACGTACAAGAAGGTGAACATTTGTTTTGTTTTCATTTATACAAACAGATCAAAACTACAGTTGTCTATGCAAGACAACCTACCTTGTTCTCCCACCGCAAACAGATGCCATATTTGCTAACAAATCTGGGTGGTCTATGAAATGAAAAGGCAAATTACAAAAACTTCTGTAATTGGGCCACATGACCTTCATTCCCTTGGATAAATGTCTTCAAGCTCCAGTCAGACTACTTAACACGGACAGTAAACCAAAGTATTCAGGCAGCCAGGTGCTGCTTCTCCCCTTTGACAGAACAAATAACCACCTCAGTTAATTGTTTCTGATCCTCTCTGTAAGACTTTAGTCCCAGATGTATATTTATATATTATTTATATATTTACCTTAATGAGACCACCTCCCTCCAGAGCAAGCTTTTTTTTTTTTTGCTAAAAGAAAATATCCTGGGGACTTTCCATAGTCTACCTGTGTTGCTCCAGAGGGATTATCTGTAGGCTAAGTGAAACTTCTCTTCCACTGAATCCCCATCCCCTTCCAGCCAAATTACTGGGGAATTCACACACATTTTGTTGACAGATCTTGATCACTCTAAGCCAACACACATTTTCTTTTTGCCAAGTTTATAGGACTTCAGTTCGTGTTTGTTTTGAATGCATTTTAGAAGTAAGTTGGAGAGGTGTCTAAGTTGGAGGTGTACTGAAAATTATTTTAGCAGCAGATACTATTGACATAGCATCTTTGTAGTTCTGCAGATCCCCTAACAAATGTTAGGAGAAGAACTTACTGTGTTACACCAAATGGAGGAAATAAGCAGGGAAAGATGGAAAAAACTCAGTCTCCAAGCTCTTGGGCTAAAACATCCTGAATGAACTTCAACGTACGTTGGTACAGGAAAGCATCCTTCTTCTTTGGCTTACAAATATTTAGATGATTAACATCCACTGGAATCAGGTCTCCAATTCCTAACTCTGGGAGAGGCAAAAAAAAAACAACCACTCTCGTGAAAAAACTACCAAAGTTCATAAGATCACCTAGACTGAAAAGCACATCTTGCATTAGCAATTTCTCTCTCAAAAGCAACTTCCCCTGTCTTCAGTTTAACTGTTCTGTCTTCATTACTTTTTAATGTGCTAAAAGCATCAATACACACTCTTACAGTCAGATAGAGCTATACATTGCTACAAAACCCACACTGGTAAATCACTAGGTCAGAGTTCTACTACCTTTATTGGGAGTATACACATGTACATTTCTCCATATAGACAACTCTGAAGAATCAAAACTTCATTCACCAGCACCTGACTGATAGCAAAGTCCTGAATGAAGTTTAAGTATTGACATGAACAGGGATAGGGTTTAATCCAGGGTATCCAGATTCTGATCACCACTAATTGCCTATATTCCTTATAAAAATATTTTGACGTGGAGATTAAAAACGGGACTGGAATGAACCTGAAGCATGCTACAAATCACTACACACATTTCCCGGGAAATAAAAAATTTACATTGCTTAATTGAAGACTACAACTATTCCATTTTCAGCTACTGATTTATTCACTCAGTCTCCTGAGAAATCCTCCATTTTGCCTGGAACTTTGTATCTTCAACCATGTAAAATTACACTAGAGCAGGATGAAGGTTTGCTTTCATGTGCCCAAGAATGCATGTAAGAAACAGTGAGCGTACTGCTTGTCAGCCTGGGTTTTGAACAAAATGACTGGCGTGCCACTGAACCGTCACGTACCCTCCAAAGGCTTTTGAGAGCTCACGTGCTGCATTGTGTGCCTAGGAGAGGAGAAATATGCTACAAAATTATATGTGCACAGTGTTATTATTTGTGCACTCTGTTATCCAGCCATCTTTTTAATTTTATTTTGTTAAATCAAAAAATATGAATGCCCAGGTTTTCAGTCCTCGCCCATAAAATTGCATCGGCAACATTTTCACAAACAATTGCTTCTTGAGAAGGCATATTGAAAAAATACTGCTAAATATTGACTCAGGAAAACAGAGATGTATAGTCCACCTTTTTCAGAGAGACTAACCTTGCCTTTAACCTAGTGGATTTAGCTGTTGGAAAGCCTGATCTAAAATCCAACAAAGCAATGGCTTCTGTTGAAGGCCTCACAGGTACCTTGGGCAGTGCAGAAGGGAGTTTTGCTCAGGGAAAACCCGAAAATACCAGACTTAAAATAATTCGCTAAGTTGAACACCCATAAACAAAGCAAGAGAACAAACACCTGGTTTTCCCTTCTCCTACAAGAGGCAAAAAGATGGAGGGGACTCTTCAGGAGGCAAACTCTATTGCTGAGATATGGAAGATAAAGGATTCCTAACACTGAAAACCAGCTTTGTGATTTTTTTCCTTCCATTAGCATTTTACTAATTTTCTTTCCTATTTTTTGAAGGAGGAAATAGCTGGAATTTGCAGGAGCTTCTGGAACACTATTCAGCCTACCTATACAAGGATGAACAACAGTTACTCATAATGACAAAGGAAAGGACTACAACAACGTAACATTAGACCAGGCTCTATCTACCCTGCTTTTTTCCACTCACATTTAGAAAAATCAAAACAAACAATTGCTATTCTGAGATATAAATGTAGCTGCCTCTGACCTCAGTAGGAAGACTGTAGTTTACACTCAGTCAAAAGTTTAAGCAAAAAAACCCCAAACATCACAGATGTATTTTTCCAGGTCTTTCTACCATAGCATTTATAATCCTTCCTCATTATCAATGCTTACATGAATACATACAAAATTAAATAAATTAAATGGTTATTTTACTTACTTGCTGATTCCAGAGGTACAACGTGCAGTTTTATCATGCTGCCTATGTGTGTTGGTAATGTTTCTGCAAAACTCAGCACTGAAAATTTCTTATCTTTGGCAAAAGACAGGAAGTCATCATTCAGCTCTTTAAGGGCAGGAGAATCTGAGAAAGAGCAACATAATTTTTGCAGTGTTATCTTGAACATTAGATTATAGCACTCGACTGGCAAGACTGCATTCTTTAAGAGATGTTTTGGAAAAATTAATAGTCCAGTAAAAAGGTGCGGCATTTTTACTGTAATCCCTTTTGCCAGCTATCATATGCAACAATCATTTATTTCTGCGTAGCGTGAAATTTGTTTAGAAGATAAGAGTCTACAGTCCAGCACATGTTGAGTTACTACATTGCTAGATGGCCCAAACTACTCTTCTATAAACTTGTTCCAACTCCCTTTTTTCCCCTTGCCTCTGCAATCAAATGAAACAGTTACTCAGAATTACTTGCACACAACCCAAAACACAAAAAGGGAGTTTGTTGTTTTTATCCAGCTTTTTCTGACAGCACGATTAAAAAAAGCATCATGAACAGATTAGCATGGATCCCCATTGTCAAATGGTAGCAAAGTGAGCGTACCCTTGCTGAGTTCTTTAACCTCCACAGATGGAAAGAGAAGATATCTGGCATTTATAGAGTATTCAGCCAGCTGGGAACCATGGTGAGGTACGCTATAAAATATGATTCCTCTGGTGTTGTTTACAATTTTATCCATTTCTGGATTCTTGGAAGCATCCACCAGCATCTTTTTGACTAGAAGACCTGGCAACAGAAACTGAATTAATGCAGGGATTTAAACCACTGTCAAAATAACGATCATGCTATATTATCCATGAAACAGCTAACCATACTCTTGCCTCAGTTGATTAGTCCTTAATTTGTCAAATATTCAGTTGAAAAAAAGCAAACCAAACCAGAGGAGGCATTAAAATAAAACATCAATGAATGATGCAAATGCAATTTTGGTTTGCTTTAAGTGTTGCTAATGACATTTACTACATGTCTGATCATGGAGAAAATTTTGCCTCTGGATTCTCATTTACATGAATTTCAACTCATTGATTTTATGTTCTTAAATCAACACAGTAAAAACAAACAGCAATAAAAATCCTTTAAAAATTATATGCTATTGAATATAATGCATTAACAAAGTAGAAATCTATTTTCCATTTTCAGGTCTTCGCAAATTTTTTAGATAAACTAGTCTGAATAATTGCATTTCAGACTGAATTTGGTTAACAGCTTATTCTGAAATGTAACAGCGAATACATACTCGATATCAACCAGACAATGTGCTTACCACCCATGCTATGTGATACCCACACCAGAGGTCTGTCTCCAATCCCAGCAGCCCTGAGCTTGTCAAGAAGCTCATTGCTCCTGTAAGCAATGGACTTCCTGCAAAGAAAAAACAACCACGAGCATGATGAAGCATGACAGGTTAAAAGGCAATGTTAAAACAGAACAAATTTTCAGTGCTGCACATTTATGAAAGTGAATTAGGTACATAAATCACTAATTACTTAGTTATTGTTGATACACTGAAAAATACCCAAAACTTTTGTAAGGTTGGCTTTGCAAGAACAACAGGAATTGAGCTAAATTCAGTTTCTTCATCTTGTTGGGAAGTTTTACTTTAATTCCACTGATGACTTGCTTCCTTTAGCTTTAGTTGAACAAATCTCTTTATGGAGTTTTAGATAGTTACATTTACACATTGTAACAAAATTATGTTTTCATTTTATGAAAGACTCATCAATGCACAATGAACTTTATCCCCTGAAACAAGAATATATCTAATGTCTGACAAAAACGTACTTTGCTAAACAACGCTCAAAATGGGGAACGATGTACAGGAATTTAATAACTAAATGCGTGATTAACCAATGCCTTCAAAAAAAAAAATATCACAGATAACGTCTGTTATACTTTCCAGACAATAATTGCCAAATGCTTTGTACTGGAATAGTATAAAAGCACAATAATCTCCACTTTACAAATGAAGAGACTGAGTTCTGGAAAGGATAAGCTACGCCTTAGAGGTTGAAAATGAATCTGTGGTACAACCAAAACAAAACCAATGCCAATTCCCAATCCAAGCTTGAAAGTGCAACATCATTACCCCTTGCAATGTAAAAAGAATCAAAACACAGAAGACCCTTGGATAATGAAGACACCAGGATACTGGGGTAAGCACTGTGCAAAGTAATTCACTTCATCTCTGTTGGTTCTCTGCATTCTCACTAGAAATTGCTTTTATAAACACATATGAAAAGGATACGCAAACGTGTCTTCTTAGCTGAACAATACACTTTAGGATAGCTGAGACCGAAAATCTCAGTTTTGAAACAGTGAATGAGCCTATACACCTAGAGCAATCATCAGGTTGTGATACCACTGCTACATCTTTGTTCCTGCTAGTTAAAAATATCTTCAATCTCTTTCATTTTTTATTAACCATATCAAATTATAAAATAAGCAAATACTATCCTTGGCTCATCATAAATAGCAAGTAATGTAATTTTCCATTTTGTAATGAAAAAGACATTATCTTAAAGTAAATAAAGAAGTATGTTTTTATTTGTTTTTCAAATTTTCTTCCATTATACTTACTCCAGACAGACACAGGAGAGAAAGTTCTCTTGGAATCATAGAATCATTTACATTGCAAAAGACCCTTAAGATCATCGAGTCCAACCATTACCCTAGCACTGCCAAGGGCACTACTAACCCATGTCCCTAAGCACCACATCTACAGGTCTTTCAAATACCTTGAAATGAGGCAGAACAATGACTGTAAAAAACATGTAGGTGGTTACCTCTACAAGGTCCAAAGAAGGCTGGACCTTGTAGAGGTACCTTGCACCTTGTTTCGCATCCAGAGAGGGCAACGAAGGTGGTGAAGGGTCTGGAGCACAAGTCTGGTGGGGAGTGGCTGAGGGAGCTGGGGGTGTTTAGGCTGGAGAAGAGGGGGTTGAGGGGAGACCTGATCGCTCTCTACAACGACCTGACAGGAGGGTGTAGCCAGGTGGGGGTTGGTCTCTTCTGCCAAGTAATGAGTGATAGGACAAGAGGAAATGGCCTCAAGTTGTGCCAGGGGAGGTTTAGATTGGATATGAGGAAAAATGTCTTCAGTGAAAGGGTTGTCAGGCACTGGAACAGGCTGCCCAGGGCAGTGGTGGAGTCCCCATCCCTGGAGGTATTTAAAAGATGTGTGGGTGTGGTGCTTAGGGACGTGGTTTAGTGGTGGACTTGGCCGTGCCAGGCTAATGGTTGGACTCGATGTTCTTAAGGGTTTCTTCCAACCTAAATGATTCCATGATTCTATGAAAATTACATGCTTCATTTTATCATGAATATAAAGTCATAGTACAGTGATTTTTTTGCTGTGCATATGAAGCATTATTGGGTCATTTTAAGTTTAAGAAATATTCCCTTAAGGTATAAAATTGATGTTATATTTACATCAACTAATAGTATAATTTAATGTCTCCCCTAAACATGAAGCAGAACAGACTAAAAGTATTTAGGAAGTTGCCACAAGTAGTTTTCCATGAAGCTAAAAAGCTCAAGCATAACACGACTGTACCTAATGTTTTTCCAAACCTGATTTTCAGATGCAACAGGGAAAGTTCAATTCACTGTTTCACACTAGGTGATCCCAAGGATCAGCTTTACAGGTCTCCCTCCTGCCCTCCCTCCAAACTGCAGCCACCACATTTGTTACCTGTGAGCCTCAACAGGACATTTTGCTTTCCAGTCACTCAAATGGGTGTCATATTCCACAGATATGATTCTAAGGGCAGGACAGTCTGAAGCCAGCCATGACTAAATTAAAGAAAGGTGAAACCAAACAGTGCTTGCAAACAATTTATCAGCAACAGAGCAAAGATGTTACTCTGGGGACAATATCAAGCAAGATTTTTGCTCTTCAGTTAATCCCCAAGTACATCTTACATTTAGACTATTATTCTTTTATTACGTGCTGGCAAACTCTAGCCTGTTCCCCAGCCACAAGGTAGGTAAAGGGCAGAGATGGATCACTAACGGGTGCGTTCCCGGCTCCCCCTCCTGGGTGAAATAAGAATCACTAAGATCACCAACAGGACTGATCAGTTGAAATTTTACAGATACTTTGGTGGTTATACCAATACGAGTTGCTTGAAGCAGTAATTACTCAATTTACCAACAATATTTAAGTAGCAATCTGCAAAAACTGAGGTATTCAGACACTAAGACAGGATACTTAATTTAAAATGTAATTTTATGTATCTTTTTCTCAGCAATAATATTCCATCGTGGGGAAAAAAAAAAACCAAACATGAAGCAAGCAGCCATTGCCTCCTCTTTCACTAACAAGTGAATGATGTTGAGAGCATTAAATTTAGCAGGGATTTTCCTTTACAAGAACAATCTGTTCAAAATTTCAGCTTGCTAACAAAAATATATCAAGAACTTGGAAAGAGCTAGTGGTGTAACAGATTACAAGTCATTTGATTCAAAAAAAGACGACTGCCAGACAGTGTAATTCTAGATCCTCTGGACAGCTCTCATTAATGAGAAAATGGCAGCTGCATATGAAAATTTTATCATCTTTTTACCTTTGGCCAGCACTGGCTATAGTCCTCTTCCCCTTCTGAAGCCTTTTTATCCAAACGCCGGTCAATGTCTTGCTGTCGCCAGGTTTTAAATGCTGCTCCCAAAAGTCCATGAACAAAAAGGATGTCTGCTCTGATGGGCTGACTGATACAAAAAAAGGAATTTTTAAGAGATCCATGGTACATGTTCTTTTAGCAAATTAAATTTACACAGAACTTTTAACCTAAGGGATGCCAAAATGCCATTTTTAACACTATATCTGTTTTCTTACCTTGTGGGCAACATTTCATGACATTTCAAAGGGGATAATCAGATTAGGACAAAAACCGGGGATCCACCCAGGAGAGAGATACATAAAAAGAGGTATGGAAAGTATCCACCTCACGAGTCATATTTTCCTATAATGAAAACCACCACTCTCTCCAGCTACTGTAATGCAGCTTGGTAGTTCCAGATTTATCATCAAATTAGATCTTCACTGTAACCTGACAAACACCAACGACTCAGGGAATAGTTGCTACTTAGTGACACAGCACACTGGAGACTCCTTCAGTCCCAGACATACAATCACTATTACAAGAAGCTGAAGATGTAAATTTACTGCATTTTAGGTCAACACGTGCTGCTGCCAGCAGAATCGTTACAAGGCACTGTAGCCCAAGACAGCCAGTGCAAAGGTTAAATGGTTGCAACGCACGCAAAGCAGTAATTCATCTCGTGGTTTGTGTTTGGATTTTTCCATGTAGCGCAATAATACTCCTTCCACGGTTAAGGACTGCTCTGACCACTTCTGTTGTTCTCCTATTTGAGAATCTAAATTCAGTCCTCTCAAGCCACCAAAAAACAGGTGGAGCAGGTGACATCAGTACAGCAGCACCCTGATGTAAACTCTTCCAAAGTTTTGTAACTGAACAGCATAACAAGTAACACTAAGTACAGCATGTACAATATTTCCTTCGGCTTTACCTGCTACGATATTGTGGGTGTAAGACATAAACACCATCTGGATACTTTTCTTTCACTGTGTCCCTGTCTAGATTAGCCAAAGCTCTGGATGCATGAGAAGACTGAATGACATGTGGGGATTTCATTACTTCAGCAAGTACAGAAACCCAACCTATATTGAAAAAAAAATAAAGTGGCAGGTTAACTAACAGAAACATCATCCAAAAAAAGAATTCAGAAACATCATCCTTCAAACTATACTTGTGAAAACAGATGTTAAAAATTAAGAATGGTAACATCAAACCAAATTATTTCAATCCACTCTCTTTACCGCAGGAAAGTAAACACTAGATAAATGGAACCTCCAAAATTCAAAAATCCAGAGTAGCCAGGAGGCAATGTATTTTCCTACTGTTCAGCTCACGATCTGAAGGAGAACCCCTTCGCAGAAGAAAAATAAAATCTAGCAGCAGGTCAGTGCAGTTGTCAGAGAGAAAACAGATCTCAAGTCTCCTTTTGCAGGTAAAAGTCAAGAAAGATAAGAGAAAACACATGTCCCAGAGAGAAAATGAAGCTTAGGGAATTAAAATGTCCCTGCTATTCTAAAAATAGTATACTATTTATACCTAAGAAACATAAGAGAATTCATGAAGGAAATCTTTGATACCATCCTCGATAAAATTTTAAGTCATAACTACTTCAAGAAAAAACAGACACTTTATAATATAAAGAAGAGTTTGAAGAGAGATTTTCAAATGAAGTCTGATTTGAAAAAGACGAAACGATTTACTTCATGAGCACTGTTCCAACATCATGTACAATATGTTGCTACTAGCATAGCCAGTAAGTTGCTAATTCAAGATAGTTCACTGGGAACTGATGAAAAGAATGAATTGACATGCCAGTTTTGTTTAAATGCTAGTACCTTTGAGAATTGTTTTTTAAGAATTATGTATTTAAATTACATTTCTAAGCAGAATACATGTAGACCACTGTGCAAGTTCTCCTTAAGAACACCACTATCTAAAAATCTATTTTCTGTTCTCCATATACAGTGAAAGACTGGCAAGCTACTCTGATTAAAACTAGCAAGGTCTCTGGTTTTGCATTTCTCTTAAATGAGCCAAGATGAAGAGTCAAAAATAGTGCTCAGAATCCTTCTACCCCCAGCTACCCCATCACAGCTACCACACAGTGCATCATTGCTTTTCATCCTCTTCCTGTGCCAGTCGTTTTTGCAAAGGAAAAGAACCTTAGAGGTTCTTTCTTCTTAGGCATCATCCAAAAACAAAAGAGAAGTCCTATCGACTTGACCAGCAGTATCCAACTGCTCATCTTTGGAGCTCTGTCCACTGTCTAAAATTCCGTTGGTACTGAGAGCTCTGTCCCAGGGAGCTGCTGATCCTTCTGTTACGATCTCTTCCTCTACACGTATAGTTTTAGCAATCATCGTAACAATGGTGCTAGAGCTCAGACCAAAGGCCTTTGTAGTCCAGTTGTCTTTCTCCAAAAGTGAGCAGTAATGGAAGTTGTGAAACAATAAACGAATAGAGCAATAAAAAGGCAAGTATATAGTGCTGATTCTCCACTAGACACTCAGTTTACTGCAATCAATTTGGGTTCTGTGCATAGAGCTTTATGGATTTTTCTTTCCATGAATTTGTTTAATCACTTTTTGAAGCTTTGCAAGTCTTCAACAATCACAATGTTTTGTGGTAAGTTTTAGTTTGGTCATGCACTGTATGGAAAACATACATATTTATTTGTTCTGCCTCTTGGTAATTTAATGTAGAAGAACCTTTGGTCTTGCATTAGGAGGAACAGCAGATGACCATTCCCTCTTTGCCTTCTCTATGCCAGTGAGAATTTTATAGATCTCAATCATATTCTTCTTCAGTTGCTTTTTCCATACTAAGCGTCTCAGTCTAGTTATTTCTTCTTTATACCACAGCCTTTCTAAATTTTTAATCACCCTCATGGGCTTCCCCTGCTCCTTTGCTACTTCTCATTTTTGCAACAGGGAGACTAAAAATGCACACTGTGTTTAAGAGTCAGACACCAGGTTGGGCATATACAACAGCATATTGATATTTTGTGTTTTTCTTTTTATTTCTTTCCTAATAAAACATTGGGAATTATTTATTTGGTACAGAGCTTTCATTGTGATATTTAGGAGGTATTAAAGAAGGGGCATCAGAGCAAAGCTTAGCAGAAGTTACCAGCCTAATATGAAACAAGGGAAGGTGGGAAGGCGTGTTTCACTTTGTTCCAAAAGGTAGGACTGCAAGCTGGTCTGTTCCTTTACGAGACTAAAACACAGTCCATAAAAAAAAAAAATTAACCTACAGGGTAGATGATCTGTAAAAGTAGGAAACTCAAAAGATTTTTGACAGTAATGTGAACTGAACATTAACTAAGTCCAAATTTTCACCATCCATCAGACTTAGAACATCTCTGTAGCATGACATATACGGCTAGACAGCATACAGTTTTTAATCAATACCATACAAACTGTCTATATTTTTTGTATTAAAAAAACCCAACACCACCACCTCCCCATCCCCATATATAAAAATCACACCACTACCATGATCCTTTGCATTTTACAAAAGCATTGAATCCGTTGAAAATTTTAGAATAGAAATCTGACATTCAGACTGCTTGCACTTGCTTTCCTTTTACCTGCACGTACTATGGATGAATGAAGACGTTCATCCAAAGCCATATTTCCAATAATACGAATTATGTTCCTCTGTATTTTTGCTGAATCTTTACGCAGCTGGTATATCCTCTGTAGTAGATGAAGGCCTCCTTTAGCTTCAATTTTATCACAGTGAGAAGAAACCTAGCATTATACAGTGAATACAATGACAATAAGTAGACATTCTGAAAAAGGTTATTTAAGATGCTGTTAATTCACAAATTAGTGAATTTTAAGGAGCCAATATGACGTAGAGCCCTTATTACATAGAAATTCTTATTATTTTAGAATTTATTATGCCATAGTTGAAGAGGAGGTAAATATTTTAATATGCTAAATGCATCATTTCTATGGATTGACAACCTGAAAGATGTGGAGTATCATCAATCTACTCTCCTCCATACCCGAGGACGAGGAGATTGCTCTCCACTTGGTGTGATCAAATTTCAACTGAAGTTCAAGAGTCTAAACTGGACAATCATCTGCATTTGCTAAAGTACTATCTCAACCAGAGCTACTTGTCTTCCTGTTCACCACCTCAAATGCAATCATTATAATCCCTTCTCTTTGAAATGCAAAGGTATTTCTACATTCCAAATAGTACAGCTATCATTATTGATTTTAAGGGCAACAATAGATTCTAGCCCAAGCAGATGAACATACACTAATTAGTTGTAGTGTCACCTACTGATGCGAAATGCTTATGACTTGAACGTGTTGTCTACAGTGCTGAAAACTGTGTGGTAGTTATGGAACTGCTGATGTCCTCCAGTCTGTGGCTTTCAACACTGTGGCTTGGAATGAGTACAGTCACAACTTGTTTAAATGAGTTATCTCCATCAAGTTGTCTTGTTTAAACAAGTTGTCTCCATGTTTAAACAAGTCTCCATCATCTACCAGCAGTCCTGGGTAACTGGGGAGGTCCCAGACGACTGGAGGCTAGCCAATGTGACGCCCATCTACAAGAAGGGCCGGAAGGAGGATCCAGGGAACTACAGGCCTGTCAGCCTGACCTCGGTACTGGGGAAGGTGATGGAGCAGATCATCCTGAGTGAGATCACAAGGCATGTGCAGGACAATCAGGGGATCAGGACTAGCCAGCATGGGTTCGTGAAAGGCAGGTCCTGCTTGACCAACCTGATCTCCTTCTATGATAGGTGACTCGTTTGGTAATGAGGGAAAGGCTGTAGATGTGGTCTA